TATTAAAATTCTTTTGATATAAAAACAATAAATTAACTCTTTTGTGCTTACACCATTTACTTTAAAAACAAAATAACATACTTTAAAACTAAAAATATTAAATCATTATTAGGAATTGCACCGTTTACTTTTACATTAAGAGTCTTTTCTTTTCAATACATTTAATAACAAAACTTAAAACTCAAAAAAGTTAACTTTTTTCTTTATAAGACTTAAATTTATCTAACACTACACTAAAACAATAAAACTTAACAACTTTAATCAATGTATAAAGAACAAAATAAACTCAATATAGGTACTAAAAATATTAATACTTAAAATAAATTAGACATTTTTAAATGTCTTGAACTTTCTTCTGCTTATATGAAGCTGCATGAGGTAATGTATCATAAAATGAATGTGTGTCAATTGGTAATACATGTTTTAATTTCTGTAAATCTGTCCATTTAGATAATGTTAATGGCAATTGGCTACTGTATAGTTTTTCATAATCCTCAGTTAGCTTAAAATATTTATTTCTAGGTAAAGGTAACATTTCATAGGAATCACTGAATATGGTTTTAAAATAAATCATTTTAGTAGCAGGATCATACTTTAAACATCTTAGGTCTCTGACTTCTGGATCTCCTTTACCTTTACCTGGTCTAATAGATGAATAAGTTTGGTTTTTTTTATAATCTGTAAAAAATGTATGGTCTAAAAGAGTTGCTTTATATGGAGAAGGGTTAACTCTAGCTTCTTTAGTAACTCGAATGAAGTCTGATGGTAAATGTATTTCTGTATTTTTTAACTTTCGTTCAATACAACTGTGGACACTATCACAACTCATCTGCGTGTGGCCTTTTTCCAAAAATTTTTGTTCTATAACTACATTATTGAGAACAGCAAAGTTTAAAAGTGCACTTGACAAGACAGAATTTCTGTTTTGGTAGCCACAGCCATCAGAGTATAGAATTATATCTTTTTTATTACCTTTGTTATCATCGTCAATGCAATAAGTTTTGAGATGATGAATGATTATACTAACAAATACAGAAGCTTCAAGTTCTCCTTCGCACTCATTCCACCAGTAATTGTGACAGTCATGTTCATTACCTACATTGTATAGTGTGAAGTTATGCACTTTTAGCTTCATTGAATAGTAAAGAGCGCTTGCGTTCATGGCCGGACATAACTTTACGGCTTGTACATCCATAGTAAAAACAATTTTTTCTAGATTTTTTGCTTTTTCTGTATCAATATCTAATTGTAGTCTTGCCATGTTTTTATTCAATATGTGTTTATTATACACTTCTTCAGACACTTGATGTGTTTTAAAAGAACAGCATATATCACATTGGTCTTTTCTAGGTTTGTATAATGAAAATTTTTTTGATTTTATATATTTAGAAAAGCAACTCCTACTTACAGGTTCAATTTGAAACTCTTTGGCTTCTTCTAAATATAAATTATATAGTTGTTGTTTTGAATCAAATGGTCCTTCTAAATAAAGCCTGTTACTTTGTTTTCTGCAATAGTGACTTTCCATTACTGGAAGTCTTGAGAACCAGGTAGTAAAATGTTCATACCTAACTGTAAATGATGTTTTGAGTCTTGGTACCTCATTTTCAGAATCTTTTTTATTTTGATTATTAGTTTTAATATTTTTAGGAGATAATCCTTCGGACGACTTCAACCAATTGTGTACCATCCAATCACTAAGATCCAATGTTGCTAAGAACATCTTTTTGCAAACATTGAGTTTTGTATCATTTATATCTCTTAAATGATACTTGAACGAAACAGATCTCCTGCTGTCAGCATCTTCACCATTAGTTTTTCGTTTAGTATCAGCTTTTTCTACTAAATTAATAATATATGATTTTTTTACTTCCCAAGTAGTAGACCAAAAACATTCAAATAAGTTAGATCTGTCTTCTTCAGAAAAAAGATTACATTTCTTAGATTTTCGACACACACTGGAGTTACAACGTGGTTTGACCTTCCTATTTTCTCTATCAATGTTTTGGAACACAGTTTTCCCTTGTCTATGATATCCAGTATATTTCTTACCATGCATTCTTTGATTTTTAGCTGTAATGCGTTTCATTTCTCCAGTGTTTTTGTTTCTACCATCACTTTGTTGATCACTAACTTCAGTGTGAGTTATATTTTCATTTTGTATAACTACTTCATTTATTCCTGGTTCTACATATTCAACGTCATCAGACTGAGCTATCATTTCAATGTCATCAATATTTATACGTTCACATGAATCTAAAAAAAAATTGTTTCATTTAACCCTTAATTCAATTCAAGTCATATTACCTATACCTAATATCTTATTGTAACATTTCAAAGTAAAATTACCTTTGACTAGAGTATGTTGTATAGAATAACTTTGTTGATCACTAACTTCAGTGTGAGTTTTATTTTCATTTTTTAAAACTACTTCATTTATTCTTGATTCTACATAATATTCATCGTCATCAGACTGAGCTATCATTTCAATGCCATCAACATTTATACTTTCACATGAAACTAAAATAATGTTTTATTTAAAATTCAATTCAAGTCATATTACCTATACCTAATATCTTATTGTAACATTTCAAAGTAAAATTACCTTTGACTAGAGTATGTTGCATAGAATCACTTTGTTGATCACTAACTTCAGTGTGAGTTATATTTTCATTTTGTATAACTACTTCATTTATTCTCGGGTCTACATAATATTCATCGTCATCAGACTGAGCTATCATTTCAATGCCATCAATATTTATACTTTCACATGAATCTAAAAAAAATTGTTTTTATTTAACCCTTAATTCAATCTAAGTTATATTTTATCGTTATATTTTGAAGTAAAATTACCTTTGACTAGAGTATGATGCATAGAATGATCTTCTACTATAGATTGTGCAGATTTTAGACTGCTATTGTTTACATTTTCACTATTAAACAAAACTGAAAATAATAATCAATCAATCAATTCAACTTCAACAATAAAATTCATGTATTGTTAAATAATAAATCACTGTAATAAAAATAATCAAACTTTATGTACCTTAGAAATTAAAAGTTGATACCAAAAAAAAAAAGCAGTTCTAAATAACATTATATCATTTTATTCAAAACTAACTTCTGATTTGTTATTTAAAAATGTAATTTCTATAGTGAATAATGGCATGTTTAAATTAAATATTTCAAATACTACATAATTTTATAACATAATATACCTACTACACTATTATAATTATTATATATTAATTCAGTATTACATTACCTTCATTAATTGTCATTTCTGAAGAGGAGTTACATGTATCATCACTGTCACATAACATTAAAAATTCTTCGTTTAAATTATCATTAAACTCAAATTCATTACTAGGATTTTTTGGCACTTCGATAATAATCGGGTTAGGATTTCTAGCAATGCTCAACATCATTTTTGTCCGTCTCTTCCACATTTTGGTTTTTTACTAAAGTACTTGTAAAATCAGATACAATTTGTACTTATCACCTACTACTACGATATTGAGTATAATAATTAAATAACAAAATCACAATAAAATAATAGAAATGAATGAATCAATAAACAACACATTATTAAAGCTAAATAATAATAATTTATACTACAATGCAATGCTGAATGCACCATTATCCAGTTTACACTATGCCGTGTGTAGATACGAGTAATTGTAAATCAAATTCTGATACAAGTTATTACTCTAACGTATTTTCCCAGAATATCAGTAACCATATTATATTTTAACCTCAAATAGTTTTTATTCTCCTTGAAATTCTGAATTGAATGATACCAAAATGTCAAAATCGAAAAATTGTCAGATACGAGGTATTGCCAAATCATCAACGATAATTATTTGTCCATCTTGCTGTAAGTACCTATACAATACTATGATACATTTAATGTTTTATTGATATCTCAACTCGCAAGAGCAAATTATCATTAGGATTATAATTCTTATACGAACGACTTCCAACTGTTGTTGATTGAACACGCAAGTGACCGAAAACAATTTGTATGTCCTTTGATAGTCGAGAACTTTCTTTGCAATATTATTGGACCTCCGATGACTTGTACAACAAGAGCAGCTGACAATAATGATAAAGACAACAATTTCAACAATTTTTTTACAGAAATTTATATTTAACGGTATTGTAATTATTTAAAATACACAAAATCTAGTACATAGTGATATTATACTTAAAATGTAAATTATTTTTCAAAAAACAACTATGAAAATTGAATGTATATAATATAGAGTATTATTCAAGACAGTAAAAATTAGAGACTTGTATAATGTTATGTTATATATTACAGATAATTCAAATAAGGAGCTATATTTTACATACTTACTGTTTTTTGTACAATTTGATTCAAAATTAACAAATAGTTGTAAATTTCTAATAGGTACAATTAAGTTTATGAGTAGGGTGATTATGTTGTATCATTTTTTACTGAGAATACCTAAATAAAGTAGGTAAAAATTTAATTTTTTATGTCAGCATTAAAATAATGAATTAAACAATGGTAACAATAAGAATGTTGACCTCTGGTCAATAGGAAAATGTATATTTTGTAAAGGAAAATTAGAGGCAAAATTCATCTTAAAATGTCTTCATATGATTTGTAAAGTTTCCACTAAGGAAGAAAGTAGCTACTGATTTAGGTAAAATTAACTTATTGTTTTATTATTATTATTTTTATTTGATTGGATATTAGACAAATTTTAAAATTAATTAAATCTTAAAATGTTATGAAAACCTAGGTATGTGTTCTAAAATTTAAAATAATGACTCATCGATTATTCTTATTCATCACCACTTAAACCACAGTAAAAGATAATATGTTGTGCATTATTATTTTGTTTTAGAAATGTATGTAATCTTCAGTTTCTTAACATGTTCAGATTTTATCAAAGATTCTTCCACTTTTGATGGATTATATTTGAAACGTTTTGGTTTTGAATAATCTCATCATTATCAACATTGTCTACTTAACTATTACTGTTATCTTCATCATTATCATCATCAGAATCTGACAATGAAAATACTTTTATATTGTTTGTAGATCCACAGTGATTTGTTCTAGAATTGTTTGAAAATTCTCTACTTTTTCTCTGAGACCATGTCCCATCTTTTAATAAAACAACATCTTCACATTCTTCGCTTAAATCTGAACTTTGAAGCATGTTCAAAAAAAACTCATCAACTTCAATGTTTTTAAATTTAATTTTGTTTTTACATATTGGGCACCTCCATCTTTCATTTTGTTCATTTATCTTTAAAAATTGTATTGCATCGAAACACTGTAAATGTATACAGTCTACACCCCGAACAGGAAGTTTCATTCTTAGTTTAGTTAATGGATCCATAACAGAAACAAATAGGGAAACTATATGCATATCCTCATCATTCTCCATAGATTTTTTAATGAGTTCTTTAGTTTTATCCGAGGTACGTTTTGGTCTTTTTATGAGTTCTTCGAGCAAATCATTCCAAGTCAATCTGTGGGCCACATAAACACCAGCCACATATTTGGGTGGTTTTTTTGACCATGTAATTTTTAAAGTGTTCTGTAAACAATTTTTTAAATCCATTAGTTGAGTTATATCTAAAGGAGTGTCCTCAACCGTTTCTGTTTGAGATTTTAATGTTTTTCTTGTAGGTAATTCTCTAAAACAATCATTTACAGTAACTGTGATGTTATTTAAATTTTCGGTAACATTTTCATTAAGTCCAACTTGTAGTAATCTTAAAATAATTTTTATTTTATATTCTTGTATTTCAATATTCCATGATTCAACAATAGTACGTCTAACATTATCTGTTAAAGTAAAGTTGGCAGAATTAATATTAGTCTGGCAGTACATAGGCATTAATAACGTCTGTACCATTTTAAAGAACGGTAAGTGTTCCCATTGTATAGTTGGACTTGAGGTTTCAACAAAAGGTTGTATAGGATTTTGTCTTGGTGATGTATAAGATTGGTTATAAATTTGAAGGTTGTTTTGAGGTTGTCGTAAAAACCCTTGTAAAAAATTTGGCTGTGAAACATTTGATTGTTGTACAACCGGGGCCTGTTGAAGTTGTTGGTTTTGTTGTGGTCTAGAGTTATAGACTTCTAAAATTATTTGTTTCAAAACTTTTTTTTTTTGTGCAGGAGCAGTTAACAATCTTAAAACACGTGCGCGTAAAGAAAATTGGTTACCATATTTGTTCCGCTTAATAGCTTTTAAAATTGCCGTTAGTTCATTTATGTTTAAATCATCTACCAAATGATCAATGTCTTCAATATCATTCTAAAATCAAAAAACGAAAACAAATTATAGTTTAACAAGTAAGTCACTTTATATAACTAAAGATGGGATGACAAAATTTATAATTTGTAATGCAAGTTTAAAATATTAATTCATATCATGAATATTTGTACATAATACACACATACACCTTGCTGATTGTTTAGTTATTTATGATAAATTTCATACTCATGTGTAATAGGCACTAAAAATAATAGCAACATTTATACATAAATATAACTACTTAGGTATATTATGTTTTGTTTATTCATTTAAAATAGGTATGTACTCTTTCAATTTGTTAAATTCTTGGGAAAAAATGATTGACATCTATAAATTTATTAACAAGTTTTCCTATACTATAGAAGTCTCACTAAACTGCACTTGGTGTGACATGATTAAACAAAATTACAATCAAATGTGCAGATTTTTCTCGAATAAAAGGCTATGTGACATTGTTCTCTAAAACTTTGGTTATGGTCTGCTATCCCCCTGCCATAATGCTGCTAATATATAATGTTCATATTATAATATATTTGTTTTTAATTAATTACAAAATATTGTAATATTTAAAACCATCTAAAATTATTGTTTGTTGATCACAGAGGGGCAAAAACCGAGTAGTAACAGAATATCTTATGTTCAAAAACCTATTCAAAAACCGTTTACTAAGGACAAAGGAGAATTATTTTATAAATTTATCTATTTACAATACATACATATGTTTTATGTAATCTATATTATAAGTATTTATAGTTATCAATTCAATCTAAATAATTACGATCCGGATTAATAGTACCTATGTCCAGACGAGCAAAGTCTGAATAAGGAGATTCTACTATAATGTATTATTTAGTTTTATTCTAGGTCCTGTAAGGCTAATGGCTATACATTAAATTTTGTATAACTATGTTTAAATTTCCAATTGGTGACTGCATAATAAACTAATAATAATAATAATTAAAACAGCATCAACATTCAACATGGCACATAGTTATAATTATTCATTTATTCATAGCTAATTTATGTAGTTAACTAACAACAACTAAATATTAAGTTTACAATTTTAAGAATAACATGTTATTTAGAAAGGTATGTAATGTTGCTATTAGTTATTGATTTTAATAGGTAGATTTATGGATACAAGTTAAACAATGGTTAATTAAGAGTTTATTATCTAGGAGTAATACATTTAAGATAATCGCTTTAATGTCTACCGTAGCCCGTGTAGGTACAATACCTATGCTGAGTTGATTTAGTATGTTATTACTTATTAGTTATTACAATAATATAATACTGGTATTTAATACTTACAGTCAAATCACTATTCGATTTCGCCATTTTAGATTCAAGAATGACTAACGATCGAACTGAGTGAAAATATCACGTTTATTAGTAAATACTGATAATGAAATCTGTATAAAAAAACCAAACGGAGCTGAAAAATATAATATTTCCAATCAAATTACACTGATAATATTCTAAGTTTCAGCGAATGGATGCAAGGCACGATTTAAGATAGTATCTTATACTATCTAAAATCGTGCTGCAAGCATAGATATTATAATAAACACCTAGATCGCAAACTCTGTATACCGGCTTAATAACATTTTTTAGCTGGCAGCCATTTGCAGGTGGAGCAAAAACGATAGTGAATTATCGATATTATCGACATCGATATCAGTATTATCGATTTTTATATCGATTCGATGTATATTATCAAAGTTACATTGTGATACTGAGAATAACAACTTTCGGTTACTTGTTTTTAAAACTTAAAAGTTAAAGTTTCTTGTTGCGCGTTAAAATGGTTCAAACGT